TACCCTGTCTATCTCCTAACTACTTTCTTTTCTCTTTTTTTATGCTTATTGATTTCCTTACAGAATGGAATTGAGTAAAGGGAAGATGTATGAAGAAACTGTACACAAATATTATGTCAAGAAGAACTTCGTCAGAGTCAGCTCTGTTACATGGTAGATTGAGTTCCCAAGAAAAATAATGAGGCCAATCACCTGAGTTATTTAAAAATCAGCTGGACAAACCAAGGATGTGCTGGCAGGAAGGCCCCAGTCTCAGCTGTATTGGAATGAAGAAAACAATTCTAATAGGATTTTTCTCTCCTTATTTTACTTTTTCTCTAGGCTGAATCCTTTAACTCATGCTGAAATCAGTTATATCCAAAGACAGCAAGATTCACTACTTTCCTGTGGCCAAATTCATCAGAAACTAGAACAAAAGCAGGGAAAGGAGATATTAAAGAATCCCTTTTTCAACTATCAAGAAACTCTCTGGTCCCATGGGAGAAAATCAGTGTAGAACTCTCATTCTTGGCCTGTTCTTGATTCTGCGATCAAAGGAAAAATTCTCTGGAAACAGGAGGGTAAGTTCTGCTAACATTTCATGGTAAAAACTACTATGTTATACATAGCTTCCTGCAGTATCTGCATATAATTTTTGTCCATCAACAAGTAAAATTTTATTCTCTGAACAGCACATGTTTTCCCATTATATGTTTATGGCAATTTCTCTGAAGTCCATTTATTTTTTTATACAGCCTCGCAGAGCACTGCAGAAGCCTTTTCAGACTCAAAATATATGAAATATAGTCATTACTATATCGGGGCAGATCAGTGTCCTTACCACCTAGCACTCTAGTGTCTAAGCAGAGATGCTATGGTTTTCCATCTTGGCATCCTCAGATAAACATATCCCTTTACTTGACCCAAGACTTCAGTGAAAAATCTACCATGGTTTAATAATCAGATAGTACCTCATACACAGAGCACTTGTACTTTATAAACTCTTTCACTAGTATCCACTCTTTTGATCTTCAATTGGGTATTATTATAAGTCCAGTATACAAATGAAAGATCTGAAGCTCAAAAAGGGGGAAATAATCTGCTCATTGAATGACACAGAGATAGCAAGGGCAGGCTGGAACACAATCCCCGATCTGTCTCCAAAGCCCTAGATTCTTCCCATTCTACCACCTTGCCCTTCTCAGGGGTTTGGGGCAGCCTCATCCTAGAAACATGCAGGTAGTAAGTTTTAGATGCTGAATGCAACCTCTATATATGTCAGACCAAAAACCTACACCCTCAAATAGGACATAATAAACATGGTGTTTTAATCAGTGACCCAGATGAAAGTAGCTGCTTATCTACTTTCAAGCATTTTTCATTCATGGGGAAACAAGGATGCAAATTAATTTGAACTTTGTGTCTTTGGGTTGAATGAATTCACCTGATCCCTGAAAACCAGATTCATTCTGCCTGTTCTCTTTGCAGACCCTGTTTTTTTTTTTTTTTTTTTTGCGGTATACAGGCCTCTCCCGCTGCGGAGCACAGGCTCCAGACGCGCAGGCTCAGCGGCCATGGCTCATGGGCCCAGCCGCTCCGCGGCATGTGGGATCTTCCCGAACCGGGGCACGAACCCATGTCCCCTGCGTCGGCAGGCGGACTCTCAACCACTGTGCCACCTGGGAAGCCCTGCAGACCCTCTTTTCCTGGCCTCCTTACACCCCCAGGGTACCTAGGGGGCTCCCCCTGGGCAATGAGAAAGCAGTGGGTTCGAGTAACGATAACTTACTGCTGATTGGGTTTAACTGGAAGATCAAGCAAGGTAAACCCACACAATGCCTTGAGCAGGAACTTTCTGTCTTCTGCAGCTGACTGGTTCTCTGCCATTTCCAAGGACCATCAAAAACTGCAAAATCTTGACCTTAAGGATGGCAAAAAGGAAGAAAACTTGTGAACATGGAATTAATGCCCTACTGAAGGCAGACCTCAATAAAGATTTTAACAAGACTCACCACTGCCCCTGAAGGTAGGCAGGACCTGACATCTGTTTCTAATTAATAGAATATGGCAAAGGTAGTGGGACGCTGTTCCCATCTGGCTAAGCTGGTGAAGTAAGCATCCATGTTCACAGAGCTCATCTCTTTGGCTTAAGGTGATTGGGGTGGGCATTGGTTTTTGTTTTTCTGTTACTTGCAACAGGAACTGTGCTAACTGATACTATACCACTGGCAAACTCAGAAGTCTAGTTTCCCACGTTGATCTCCACAGCAACATAGATTAATCAGAGTTATAGATTTTTGAGGGCTGAAAAGAACCCATTGAATTTCTAGTCCAGCACACTTTTCTTTATGAATTAAGATGCACAGTGTTTTGGAAAAGGGTGGCAAACTATATATCGAACAAATTTCTTGACTTGAAGTCAAATTTTTTTTTTGACTACTCCACACTACTTCAATAATACATTAAGAATCTTTTAGACAGTTTTTTTTTTTTTTTTTTTTGCGGTATGCGGGCCTCTCCCTGTTGTGGCCTCTACCGTTGCGGAGCACAGGCTCCGGATGCGCAGGCTCAGCGGCCATGGCTCACGGGGCCAGCCGCTCCGCGGCATGTGGGATCTTCCCGGACTGGGGCACGAACCCGTGTCCCCTGCATCGGCAGGCGGACTCTCAACCACTGCGCCACCAGGGAAGCCCCTAGACAGTGATTTTTGATAACCAACTATGTACTCAGCTTTCTGCTCCCCCTTAAAGAAAGACTGAACACTGAGAAGTACTGCCCTTTGGAAAAACTGAAGAAAGGCCTAAGAATGTCAGTGCAGCCAACAAAACAACAGTAAAAATTCTGTGCCCCCTCCGAACATTCTAAGATGATATATAAGATTTTGTAGGGGGCTTCCCCTATATTAATAACAAAATGATGTCTTAAAGATCTCCAAATATTTAAAAATTAACATATTTCTAAATAGCCTATGTGTCAAAGAAGAAATCACAAAAGAAATGAGAAAAAATGTTGAATTCATGGAAATTAAAACAGCTTATCAAAATACATATGATGCAATTAAAGAAGTGTCTGCAGTATATCCATGTACAGCACAGGAAATACAGCCAGTATTTTATAATAATTATAAATGGAATACAACCTTTAAAAATTGTGAATCACTATGTTGTACACCTGAAATTTATATAATATTGTATCTCAACTATACCTCAATTTAAATAAATAATAAAATAAAAAAGTGTCTGTAGGAAAAGTTATAACTTTGAATGCTTACATTTAAAAAAATGATAAACATATAAAAATCAGTGTACAACAAAGATATTATAAGAAAAGACAACTACAGGCTGACATCCCTTGTGAACATGGATTTTTTTAAATTACTTTTTAAAAATTAAGAAAGTGAATCCAGCAATATATTTAAAAAGCCAAAAAATTATGACCAAGTGGGAGGTGTCACAGGAATGCAAGTTTGGGTTAACATTTAAAAATCAATCAATAGGGCTTCCCTGGTGGCGCAGTGATTGAGAGTCCGCCTGCCGATGCAGGGGACACAGGTTCGTGCCCCGGTACGGGAAGATCCCACATGCCGCGGAGCGGCTGGGCCCGTGAGCCATGGCTGCTGAAGCTGCGTGTCCGGAGCTGGTGCTCCGCAATGGGAGAGGCCACAATAGTGAGAGGCCCGCGTACCCCACGTACCGCAAAAAAAAAAAAAAAAAGGAAATTGCATATGTACAGAATGGCCCAATGTATGTGCATATGATGTGTATGTGTGCATAAATATTCTTTTATCCATGCACACATACTTTTTCTAAATATTACTGAATGCTAAATACAAAGAAAGAAATTGGCAAAAATACATAGCAAATAGTGGTTATACCTATGGGGTATGACTTGGGTTCCTAAAGAAGTAGACCCAAAGACAAGGATTTGCATGTAAGTGGTTTAATGGGAGACGGCTCCAGGAAACACTGGTGGGAGAAAGGGAAAGTAAGACACAGAAGGGAAGGAAGAAAATAAAGGGTGTGTTATTGAATAAGTTCCCACAGTGGGCAAGGAGGGCTCAGTCCCACTGAGAAACCCCAGGAGGCAGTGTAGACCATGCCTCGGACATCCCAGCCAAGGGAAGAGGAGTCCGTTTTCCCATATGCCCAACCATCATGGTCTGAGGCCTCAGAGGCATTAGCTCTGCCGGCCCTTCAGGCTGCCCCACGGTGTGCAAGTCCAGAGAAAGACAGATAGGGAGTAGCAGGCACCTGCCAAAGACCACTGTCTATAAGTAGTGAGACAGTAAGATGCCTGCACCGTCCACTGTAGGGTAGACCACAGTAGACTGCCACTTTTGACATGATTTTTTGTTTTTTTTAATATCAATGACATATTTTAAAATCTGGAAAGAAAAACTTATAATAAGAATACTCAACAAAGTATTAGGTTTTCTAGAGAAGAGACTTAAGAGGCTTGAAATTAAGTCAGAAAATATGCAGGGAGGCCAGGGAATCTCTCCTCAAAGGGGTCCTTCCACCTAGAAAACGTGCCCTGGACGTGAGCCCACCCCACACACAGGGTGGATGGTGCCGGAAGAAGAGAGACGGCGGAAATGAAGCACGTTCTGACATTTTATTCACTGGTCATAAATACAGTCTCGTGTGCATGAAGGAGATCATGAACAAGGGACTAGCACCTGGAACGTGACTGTCGCAGAGCACTCACTGCTTCACCATCGCTGGCCAGAGGACTCCCTGCAGCTGCTCGGGGCATCCCCCCCGATCAGGCTTTTGGCTTTGTAGCGATCCTCCTTCTGGGGCAGCAATTTATTCTTGGCTCATTCTCAACAATTTTTTAAAAATTCATAAAAGATCGAGTGTTTGCAAGAAAATATCAAAGAGGATAAGAAGATTTTCAGTTCTTCTCAGAGTCTAAAAGTAAAACGGGAAGGTGAGGAAGGAGAGAAAGGGAAGAGATGTCAGGCGTGGGCCAGGCTTCTTCCTTTCCCCAGAGCGTTTAAAAAAAAGAAAAAACAGGTATTAATGCTGTTTGGAGATGGGCTGCGTCTCTCTGATGAGCCACTCCAGGGCTTCCTGGCGGCCCTGTTTTTGCAGTTCTTTCCCGATCACGTCCCTGCAGGTCAGGTGGTAGTTGTTGAGCCAGTCGCACTGCAAGAGGGAAGGAATACAGACGTGGTCTCACCATCACACCTTCACCAAAGGCTGCACAGCGAGCAGTGAGGCCCCATGTGCTGAGATCACAGGATGAGAGTAAAGGAGCACAAAACCCTTTCTCCCTGCTCATGGACAAGCAACCTCCTTGTGTTCTACCTCCCTGGAAATAGATGGGACGAGGCCACGTGGCCGATGGTGAAAATGCTCCTGGAACCATCTGCATGTGGACTGGAGTGACTGTGAGGGAACCACGAATGCCTGACGGCAAGCCGTGGCTCTGGATGCAGAGTAACTTGTAACCGGGTGTCCCCCTCGACGGCACCCCTGGAAGCCATGACGAGAGAGTGGGGGCAGGGGTCTCACAGCTCCTGCACCCACCCTGGTTGCCTCAACTGCTGTGAAGACACACCTGAGGCTGTCCTACCAAAGCGCTGAGTTTCCTATCCCGTATCCGCCTACGAAGCTGAATAAACTAGGATCAGTCAAGCCGGTGAGGGTCTTGTGAGAGTGGCCGTCTAGATGCGCCCAAAGCCTTTGGAGGTCAAGGCCTGCAAACGGCTGCATGTCAGCAGCAAGGCCAGGCAGGGCTATAAGGCAGCCTGCCGTCCAAAGCAGCTCAACAGTGCAGACAGGAGCAAGCCTGGGGCCACAGAGACACTCCCAAGACCCTTGTGGTTTGGGGCAAGCTGGGGCACCCGCAGGGGGCTGGAGCAACGTCACAAAGGCCTTGGCAGCCTGCAGCGCACACATTCATGTCCAACCAAAGTCCTCTGCTGCCACCTGGTGACAAATCGATGGGAATGCAGCACTAACCCCAAAACTCCCTAAAGTTTCTGCTAAGATTGGGAGACGGTAAAGGGCAATGACTGGTACTTTAAAAGCCCAATGGACAGCATCTTGCTGTGGGGTATTACTATGCTTTAAGACAGAATGGGAAATGAACACTTTTGCTAAAAGAGATAATAAATACACTCTGCTCTGAATATTAAATACTGTCCTCTACTTGTAATTTGTGGAAACTTGCTAATGACTCCAAGGTAAGAAGATATTATCTGTCCTATAAAAACTAACTGGCTAAAAGAATAGTTCAGTGATTGGGGTATGTAAGGTACAGTAATGAACACTGGACCAGGCAGACAGCACTGGTCTCTGTCCAATGTCACAGGGGAGTCACAGGTTAAAAAGACTCTCTCCCTCAAGGAAAAATAGCCTTGCTTAACCTTCCTCATGCACTATTTCCCTGGATAAAGTGGAAGGTCACGTGGGAGAAATGTCTCCTGACTGGTACACTTCATGTGGACAGCAAGGCCTATGTGACCTGGAATCACTTGGCAGATGCCACAGCCTTGGGCTTCCAAGAGGGCAAAGTGACGACTTAGTAGAGGGTCCCTTGCTAAGACCCTGGAAGCTGTGCTCGAGGGCCACAAGAAGAGACTGGTTCCTTGGGCAGAGGGCTGTAAGCAGGGTGGCTGCCGTGCTCACTTCTGTGCTGTCATCCCCTCTCACCTGAGCCAGCCCTGTGGGGACCAGAGAAAAGGCCCAGGGCCGCAGGAGAGACTCTTCCCGCTGAAAAGACACACCTGACACTGTGCTGCCGACAGGCTGCTGCCTGTTCTGTATCCATCTACAGCCTGAATAAACCAGCATCAGCAGGGCTTGTTTGGGTGCTGTGAGTGGGAACATTTGGCTGAATCGAGGCACTGGCGGTCAAGATGAGGTGCCCAAGCACAGAGGCAATCGAAGCAGCAAGTGGATGACCTTCCCCTGTCACCCATCTGTGAGCTGGATGGGGCAGAGAGGGAGCTTCTGGCTGGGAGGAGCCCGTTCCACGGCCCTGCAGAAGGGGGCTCCTCAGCCCTCAGAGGTGCTTTCCTCTAGTGCCAAGCACAGGGCCCACGCAGGCTCCACTGAGGGTACGTTTCTGCCTCAGAAGCCCCTGGGATGAGGCCAGTGGCTGCCTCTGGTAACAAGAACTTCTTATCCCTAGAGTGATGCACCACGCTTGTCCTGCCTTTGGCTTCTGCTGGACTTCTGCCTGCCTTGCTCTGGAACTTGTGTCCTTCTGGCTTCTGCCTTCCTGGCTTGGGCCTGACCACTTCACAGCAGACAGGGTGGTGTCGTTTCCACCCTGTTTTGACCCTTGTCCCTGCTCTGACCCTGGTCACCTGCCTGATCCCTCAAGCCTTATTCCAGGTTCCTGGGCCTGCCGCCTCACCTGGCCTCATGAGCCTGGGGACCCGTGCTGGGATTTGCAGGGGTTCCAAGACCTGTCACCCTCTGTCAGCCTGACAGGTGAGCACTGTTGTGCGTCTGCTCTGTAACGGGTTTCAAGCCCAGAGCAACAACCTCTCTCCCTGCCTGTGACAAAACTCAGGCATATGGTAATAGCGTTTGCTTCTCAGTTCCTTAACGTTTCACGCAACACAAGAAAACAATCTGGCGTGTGCAACGGCCCCACCCACCCACAAAAATGCAGGGAAGACATGCCCATGTTTGCTAAACACGCCTCAGGGCAGCTATGGCTCTGGCCCTCCTGGAAAGCAACAGCACACTATTCATTCCCACCTGTGAAGCCCTACCATCCCCAACAGTGAGGAGAGCAGGGCTATATCTACCTCGAGACCCAAAAATACAGGAAAAGCACCTCCAGTCCTCAGGAGACCTAGGATTTTCCAACTCAGCTGGCCTAGGCTCTAACTTAAAAGCGACAGCGGAGGGGAGAACGTAGGGCAGCTCTCCACCCCACACGCTTCTGCCCTCCCCCAAGGCTTCCTCGTTACCTCTTTGTCTGTAAGAGAATCCACATCTATCATTTTGGTCTGTATCGGAACCAAAGTTAGAGGATCAAAGGTCAGGCTTCCCCGGTTACTGAAGTTATACTGTGGGAGAAGGAAGAAAACAGAAGCTTTTACTCCTCTTTACCACAATGACCCGCTACGAGGTCACTCCCACCAGACAGGACCGTCCCTCAGAGCCGGGTGTAACTAGGAATCGAGACGTGGTTAGCTGGTTCACCATTTTTAATAGACACGGAAGACACGATGAACACAGCGGATGCCACTTTCCAAGAGCTGCTCCTCTGTGCAAACAACAGCCTGTGCCAACAGGAAAAGCCAAAGAGTGCTGAGGGGCTCCCAGCAGCACATCCACAAGACTCCTGCCTGCTGTGATGGAGAAGAGGCACAGAGGGTGTCTGCAAGCAGGGGGGTCTCTGGTTTTGGTTCTCGGGCCTCTGCTAAGGCCTAAGTTCCCCAGCAGATCCCTCTTCTTGACATCAACCATGCAGCCTGCCCTGACCCAGCCAGGCCCATCAGGTGACAGGTAACAGGTCAGTCCAGCGCACGTGGCATGGAATGGCCGGGGCACACAGGGCACGCTGGGTCTCTGTTCCTGGCGGGGCCTGTGGGAGTGAGGGGAGAGGCCACCCTCAAGAAGAGTGACATCGGTGTGCAAGCAGAGAGCAGACCCCTGCAGTCAGCTTCCCTGAAGACTTAGGAAGCCACCTCCCTCCAACGGTTCCATTTCCAAAATCACCCATGGAGGAGAAGCAAACAGGCCCTTATAGGTCAAGCCCAGCACCTAGAGCCTGCGACCTCTTGGTAATGTGATGGGGAGACGGTGGCACACCTGCCTTCCAGAGGGCACCACACCTGCGGGGCCCGACCCAGGGGGTAACTCGGGCCTCCTCAGCTTTACCTGATAAAAGTCATCTGGGGCATTTGTTGAAAGTAGTTCCCGGAACCCCAGCCCTGGAGATTCTGCTTCAGGAAAGGCCTGGAAGGGGCCTTTAAGCGAGCACCCCTCCCCCACAGCAGAGGCAGCTTGACAACAAGAAGCTGCCTCCAGTAAACTCGGAGCCCCAACTAACAGCAAGCAGGGGGCTGCCTGGGGCTCCATGAGGTCCAGTTCAGGGTCCCAGTTCACTAAGGATTTTCCTTCTGGCTCTGCAGAGGAGAATGAATTCCAGGAGAGACACCACTATCAGGGGAAGGAGGCTCCATTCTGGCCCCAGAATGACATGCTCTTGGTTCCAAGGACGAAACTCCTCATCCTCCCCCATTAAGGAATAAGGGAATTTTAAAAACAAAAACCTAATTACTCACCTTGGTCTTCACAGGCACCACCAGGACAACATTCTCAATGCGAATTCCAAAAGCCCCGTCTTCATAATACCCTGGCTCTAAAACAAACCAAACCCTAAAATGAGAAGCAGCCCACCATGAAGATAAGCACAGAGAAGCCTGCACTCCTGGGATGACAGCGCTTCCCAAGAAACAGACGAAGGGCCACTCAATCTGGGTGTAAGAGCCCAGAGACGCCTCCTCCCACGGGGCACTTTTAATAGGCAGTTGAGGTCCAGACAGAGAAAGGCTCAGAAGTTCCTGAGAACTGGCTGCAGGGTAGGGAGTACAATAACAGAGGATCCGCCAAATAAATGATGGGACATATCCATAAGACACAATGATGCAGGCAGTAAAATACATTCACAAAGATGTGGTAACGACATGAAAAGACAAGAAGCTAACATAGCAAATTATTAAGTCACGTTTCCCCTGGGTGTGTCTGGATTACAAATGATTATCATTTTCTTCTTTATACCGTTCCATAGTCTCACTTCTACAATGAATATTTATCACTTTTATAATCAAAAAAGGGTTGTTGTTTGTTCTTTAATTCAGGAAGGGGAAATTATTTCCAATTTACTTTATAATAATGAAAATATAAGAGACAACAAAGAGCTTTCAGAAAGGCCAGAGGACCCATGCACACTCTCTAGGTGAGGGACACCTACCATCAGTGACAATCATGCCGGCCTCCAAGGGCTCATCAGAGAATGTTTTATAACTGATGCCACAAGGACCCTCATGAACATTCAGAAAAGACCCAACACCGTGTCCCGTCCCGTGCAGGTAATCCAGGCCAGAATCCCATAAAGCTGAGCGGGCAAAGGAGTCAAGAAGGTGGCCTGAAAGACATATTAAGAACCACCTGGTGATTTTGTACAGTACTTTTCAACTTGCAAAGCACTTTGGAGATTACATTTGTTATGTTTGGCTCCAGAAGGTGAAACAGAAACCAGCGGGTAAAAGTTACTGGAGGATTCAGGTTTCAGCCCAACACAAAGAAGAACTTTCTAACAGAGCTCCTGAGGAGGGCAGCTCCCCCACCAGTCAGGGCTCAGTCTGAAGCTGGAGGATGCTGGTGAGGAATGGTCACCTGTAGCAGGTAAGGGCTGCAGTAGATGACATGGATGTTCCCTTCGCAGCGCTAGGACCCTACAGTTTCAGAATTACAAGATGAGATTCTAACCAGACTGCAAGCATGAGGAAAGTGGTGCCCAGGGAGATGAGTGCCGGCCCAGCCTAAGCAGACGCAAGGCCCAGGTCTTGTCAACTCCCCGTGCAATGGCCCACCCACCCATCCTCATGCAGAAAGGTATATGTCTCAAGTCAGGTTCTCAGTAAAATAAATCCCAATGAGGGTCCTGAAAGGAGGCACTGGCCCAGCACTGAAGAGCAGACAGGAGGCTGCGCCAACTTCCACTGGGGCCCTGAGGCCTTCATGCCCTGCTGCCCTCTCCTGGGAGCCACCCACATGGGTCACCCGACACCATAACTGGTCAGGAGGGAGGTTCACACCTGACCCTGGGCCCAGTCCGAAGCCTGGCTCCCTGGAGGTCCTCTCAGCTCAGTCCCTGCAGCACCCCCATTTGCCCAGGATGGGCCTGAAGTAGGCTGGGGGCTGGTACAGCGAGGGAAGGACATGTTCTTCCACCCAAACTTAGACACGTCTGATGCCTGAACAAGAAAAAGCCTCTGCCATGTGATTGAAGGAATCACCTACCTTTGGTTCCAGTCGGGAAAACAGCTGCACTCACAGCTATGTGGCCCTTGAGGACACATGTGAAGCATTC